TTTACTCCACCCTGGGCGACAGAATGAAACTCCGTCTCAAAGAAAAGAAAAAAAAAGTTGCCTAAAATCACCCAATGAAGGCAGGGCTCAAATTGGAGGTTACTATACTTTGTTTCTTTCTTTGTTTTTAAGCCTCACTCTGTCACCCAGGCAGGAGTGTAGTGGCGCTATCTCAGCTCCCTGCTCTGTAACCTCCACCTCTGAGGTTCAAGCAATTCTCGTTCCTCAGCGACCCGAGTAGCTGGGAGTACAGGCATGTGCCACCAGGCCTAGCTAATTTTTGCATTTTTAGTAGAGACAGGGTTTTGCCATGTTGGCCAGGCTAGTCTAAAACTCCTGGCCTCAAGTGATCTGTCCACTTTGGCCTCCCAAAGTGCTGGGATTATAGATGTGAGCCACTGCATCCAGCCTCTATTTATATGAAATATCCAGAATAAGGCAAATCTACAGAGACCGAAAGTAAATCAGCGGTTGCCTGTGACTGAGAGTGTGGAGAGAGTGATAGGGTATGGGCTTTCCTTCTGAGATTATGAAAATGTCGTAAACGTAGATCGTGATGTTTCACAGCTCTAAAGACAGTAAAAGCGTTGACTTGTACATCGTAGACGAGTGCATGTTACATACGTTAATTGTATCTCGGTGTTAAAAATGAAAACAACTGGGAGAAAGAGGAAAAAGGGGAAATGGAAATCAAATCAGAAATGGTGAAGTAACTCACATATATCCTGTCTGCCTCCTGGAATATTTTTCAAGTGTTTAATAATCTGTACCCTAGTAGATAAGGCCTAATTTCTTTATCCATCAAATTAAAAACCTAACTTTATCTTAGAAATTCTTGCATTCTGCTTGTTACTATACTTTATGCTAGGTCTTTGGAAGATGCTCCTGAAAGGAAACATAAATTTTCTTTCATAAGTTTATATAACTTTACTTTCCTTTGTGTTGCTTACAGCCTTCGAGGAGAGAGAAATAATGTCACAAGCAGATTGAAACCTAAACTCTTTTTTTTTTTTTTTTGAGACAAAGTTTCATTCTTGTTGCCCAGGTTGGAGTGTGATGGCATGATCTGGACTCACTGCAACCTCCACTTCCCGGGTTCAAGTGATTCTTCTGCCTCAGGCTCCCAAATAGTTGGGATTACAGGCGTCTGCCACCATGCCGGCTAATTTTTGTATTTTTAGTGGAGACAGGGTTTCACTATGTTGACTAGACTGGTCTGGAACTCCTATCCTCAGGTGATCCGCCCACCTCAGCCTCCCACAGTGCTGGAGTTACAGGCCTGGGCCACTGCTCCTGGCCTGAAACCTCAGCTCTAATCAAAGCTAAGAATTAGAGGTGCTTGGTGCTAAGAGAGCATATAAAAGGGGATTTGACCTTGAGAGGGAGGGTACCCTGGGGAGAAATTTGAAGGAAAAATTAACAATAATTGGGAATGGGACAAAGGAAAAAACAAAGGAAGGTTTTAGGCAACCTTAGAGCCTCTGAGAGTCTGATGAACTGAAAGTCTGTGGTTGCCAGATGGGTGAGATAGAAGCAAAATTGGAAGGGTCAGCAGCAACCAGGCTGCATTAGGCAATGTGACCTCCATGCTGATGCCAGTGGGAGGCCACAGAAGTCTGCAGGAGATGACTCCAAGTTCACTGTAGCTGCAGTGTGGGATCAGATAGACAGGCCAGAATGGGCGCTGATGCCCTGATTGAGAGTTGATTGAGGCAGTGGCAGTCCACAAGAGATGGTAGAAACAATATATATTCTCATATATATTTTTCCAAATATCTTTGTCTTTTTGCAAAAATCACATAAAATAAACATGCTTGACTCTTCAGCAAGGCAATGTATGGGTTTACTAGGTAAGTTTCACAGAGAGATGTCAGCAAAATAATTGACATGCCTTGCCCCTAGTATGTAAACCTTGTGTCTGCGAGTGGTCTTTAAAGCTTTCCTCTGAATGCAGGTTTAGAGCTATTTAAATGGCAATTGCCATAGTATCTGGGGCTTCAGAACAAGCCTCATCCCAAAGCTTGGCCAGGAGCCCAAGATAACCATGTTAGAACTGCCCCAAAGAGATGTGCTTACTGTACTTCCCCCTCTTTGTACAACTGCATAAGAGCAATGCACTCGATATGTCAAGTGACACTTGGCATTACAGACCTGGTTTGTGTACAGCTGCCTCAAGAACATTTTAGATTTTTCAAAAATTTTCAGAACGTGGTGATTTCTCAAATTTTCAGTGGTATTTGTCTTTACTGTTGTCTTTCATTATGAAATATAATTTCTGACCCTTAGGGCAAGAATACAAACATGATAGTATTCCAGACCACTCAGGGCAGCATCCTTCTTGGAGTTTCTTTGTGGAGATTTTAGAATTTACAGGGTAGAAAGATGCCTGAGGAAACATTAATTGTTTTCAGGGTAACTTATCAGTAACCTAAATGAGCTGTGACATGGAAATTCACACTGCAGCTGACAGTGCATTTTACCATTTCAGAGTCCTTGTCAGCTAGAATACCAACATTCGTTACTCTCCACCTTGATACATTTGATCCATTTAAAAAAATTTATTCATACTTATTGAACAGTGAGTGTCACATGTTACAAATAACACCGGTATTGCCACATGGATTGGGAGCACTTGCTTTTCCAGATGAAGAAGGCTGTCAGATACAAATCGTAGTCTCTGAAGTCTGAACAGATTAAATCCTGCCTCTGGGAAAGTGGCTTATCCTGTCTGCCTGTGTTTTTTCATCCAAAAATTAGAGAAGATGGTGCTCACTTCTTTGTAAGGATCAAGTATGATTTTGTTTGTGGAATTTCTGACACAGGCTGGGCGTGGTGGCTCACGCTTGTAATCCCAACACTTTGGGAGGCCAAGGTGGGTGGATCACGAGGTCAGGAGTTAGAGACCAGCCTGGCCAACATGGTGAAACCCCATCTCTACTAAAAATGCAAAGGTGCCTGTAATCCTAGGTACTGTGGAGGCCGAGACAGGAGAACGACTTGAACCCAGGAGGCGGAGGTTGCAGTGAACGAAGAGCACGCCACTGCACTCCAGTCTGGGAGGCAGAGCAAGTCTCCATCTCAGAAAAAGAAAAGAAAAGAAATTTCTGACAGCACGTGGCATGCAGTAAAAGCTCAGTTAGTGGTAGCTATCGTTAATACCAGATTTTGCCTATATGAAGTGTAGGTGTGCCAGAGCTCTCATTATTCAGTACACATTTTCTTAGACTCTGTGCAGTGTGTCAAGCTCTAGGCACGTAAAGATGGTAAGTAAGACCTCTTTCATGTCCAGGAGCATGCTACACTTGGTCTAACGCCAAGGTCACAAGCTGGTTGTCAGGAGTCAGATTCAGCCCACAAATGTGTTTCATTTAGTCTACGCAATATTCTTAAGATGTTTGAGCTAAGTTTTATGAATCAGGAGATTTTCCATAAATATCCTGGTTTCCATTTTCCACTGGAAATGGACCAGCGTTCCAAGCTGCCCTTCAGTTACATACTCAGTTTATCTCATTCCCTGCCTTTTCATCCTTCTCTAACGCAGCCTGCTTCCCTGACAGCACCATCTGTAGGTCCCCACGTCTGCCTGCCTGGACTAATCCCAGAGACAGAACTATGGGCATGCACATGTAGTAGCAGGAAGTGAAAAACCACCAAGTCACCAAGGCAGCAGGGGCTGGCTGGCAGAGGGCCTTGTGGACCAGGAGAAAGGACTTCATACCAAGGGAAGCGTTTAGAATGGTTTTCAACAAGGGGTTATAAAGATGAGATTAAACTTTTGAAAAGATCTTCTGGGTGCCCTTGGAAAAATCAGTCAGGCCAGGTGCAGTGGCTCACGCCTACAGTCCCAGCACTTTGGGAGGCTAAGGCGGGCAGATCACTTGAGGTCATAAGTTTGTGACCATTCTGGCCAATATGGTGAAACCCAGTCTCTACTAAAAATATAAAAATTAGCTGGGCATGGTGGCACACACCTGTAATCCCAGCAACTCAGGAGTCTGAGGCAGGAGAATTGCTTGAACCTGGGAGGCGGAGGTTGCAGTGAGCTGAGATCACGCCACTTCACTCCAGCCTGGGTGAGAGAGCAAGACTCCATCTCAAAAAAAAAAAGAATCAGATACATTGGTCAATTTTGCAAAGAAAATTACATATATAAATAATTATATATAATGATTAATATATAATTGTAATTATAAATATATAATCATATATTAACACTATATTTATATAATTTATAATTATATCTATTATATATATAAGTGACACTACAGTGTGATGATGGAAACGTAGCTCCCAAAGTACTGGGATTACAGGTGTGAGCCACGACACCCAGTCATTCAACTTTTATTTATATTCTATAATAGCTTTAATAATATGATTATACCTAATTATAATATATATTATATAATTGTATTATGTATTATATGTAATTATCATATATATTATGTGTATAGAAATAATAACAGATCAGTTAGAAAATGTCAAAACTGAAGTCAGAAAGAGAGTCAAAAAGCTTTTAGAGTAACTGAGATGAAAGTTAATGATGACTGAAACCAAGGATCTGGCCAGGACAGAGAAATATAGGCAGATTTTCAACATACACAGGAGCCAGAGTGGACAGGACTTGATGGTCATGCAGATATGAAAGTTGAGGAAGGAGGAGGCAAAAATGATTCTCAGATACATCATAGGCAGTTGACTGGCTGGTTGGTTGATGCTATTTACTGAGAAATGAAACAAGAAGAGCAGATTTGTGGGGAAAGAGGATACTTCAATCTTGACTGTTTTTAGATGTCTCTGTGAAACAAGAAACAACTGTGTCACTATAATGGGCACTTTAAAATATGATCTCATTTATCCTGATGGAAACAGCAATAATAACAACAATGCCATCCACCTGGATTCTATGTTTATTTGTTAGGAACTGAGCAGAAACTATTGATCTCCACCTCTGTCCTTCCCATAATGAAAGCATTAATACTATCATCATCTCCATTTTGCAGATGAGCGACCAGAAGTTAACATGCATGCCTGAAGACTCAGAGCCTGTAAGTGCTATCGTAAAGATTCAGAACCTATGTATTTCACTCGGCTGACTTTTTTATTTTTCATTTCAACTTTTTATTTTTTATTTTATTTTTGAGACAAAGTCTTGCTCTGTTGCCCAAGCCAGAGTGTGGTGACACACACATAGCTCACTGCAACCTCAAACTCCAGGGCTCAAGCAATCCTCCTGCCTCAGCCTCCCAAGTAGCTAGGACGACAGGCACACACTACCATACTTGGCCAATTTTTTTGTATTTTTTATAGAGACTGGGTTTTGCCATGTTCAGTTCAACAGTTCTATACTAACATAACTTGATGGATGAAGATATGGTGATGGTAGACGAGAGGGAGTGAGGATCATATTAGATAATGCGAGTAAATCTCTCTATAAACTGAAGAGTCCTGGAGACAGGGTCTTGCTCTGTTGCTCAAGCAGTGGCAAGTTCATAGCTTACAGCTAAGCTTTTCCTACCTTTGTGAAAAATGATGTCAGTAGTTTGACAGGAATAGCATTGAATGTGTAGATTGCTTTGGGCAGTGTAGCCATTTTAACAATATTGATTCATCCGGTCCATGAGCACAGAATGCTTTTCCATGTGTTTGTGTCACCTCTGATTTCTTCCAGCAGTGTTTTGTAGTTCTGCTTACAGGAATCTTTCACCTCTTTGGTTAAATGTATTCCTAGCTATTTTTTTGTGTGGTTTGTTGTGTAGAAATGCTACTGATTTTTGCTCACCAATTTTGTATCTTGAAACTTCACTGAAGTCATTTATCAGGGCTAGCAGATTTTTGGCAATCTTTAAGGTTTTCTAGGTATAGAATTATGTATCAGTGAAGGGAGAGAATTTGATTTTTTATTTTCCTATTCGAATGCCTTTTCTTTCTTTCTCTTGCCTGATTGCTCTGGCTAGCACTTCCAGTACTATGTTGCATAGGAGTGGTGAGAGTGGGCATCCTTCTCTTGTTCCAGTTCTTAAGAGGAATGCTTCTACCTTTTCCACGATCAATATGATATTGGCTATAGGTTTGTCAAAGATGGCTCTCAGTATTTTGAGGTACATTCATTTGATGCCTAGTTTGTTGAGAGTTTTTACCATGAAGGTATGTTTATCAAAAGCTTTTTCCAAGTCTACTGAGATGATGATATGGTTTTTGTTTTTCATCTTATGGACTTCATGACTTCTGAAGTATAAATGGGGTATGAGCCATAATGCTTTTTTCTTTTTTTTTTTTTGAGGCTGAGTCTCATTCTTTTGCCCAGGCTGGAATGCAGTGGCACAAATCTCAGCTCACTTCAATCTCCACCTCCCGGGTTCAAGCAATTCTCATGCTTCAGATGTGTACCACCATGCCCAGCTAATGTTTTTATATTTTAAGTAGAGATGAGGTTTCGCCATGTTGGCCAGGCTGGTGTTGAACTCCTGGGCTCAAGTGATCTGCCTACCTCAGCCTCCCAAAAAGTGCTTGGATTACAGGCAGGAACCACCGCACTAGGCCCTCGTAAGTGTTTTTAAAGTGCTGGTGTCCACTTATGAAAAAATAGCCTAAAATGTGTTTCTAATGATTATAGGCTTCTTGTTAGGTCTGACTTCCAGGCTAGAATTCCCAGGTGTTATAACCTACTCATTTTTAAAATGAGATCTTGAACTGTATGCTTAAAATCTATTTCTACCCCCAATTTGCACTCCATCAACAACTGCTAGATTTCTGGTTTGCTATTGGGAGCAGATGTCACTGTGCAAATCTTTTTTTCTGTTTCAGATGCAACATAAAAAGTACATCTGTAGCAAGGGTCTGGGAATTCCCTCTAAGGAGCAGGAAAGTGTGACTGAGTCAGCACTGGTTTCTCTTCTGTGACAGTATGCAAATTGTCAATAGCAGAGTTCAAGTGCATTCAAATATGTGGCATTTCTCACAGCTCATTGTTCTTTATATCTTGTATTTCTGAAAACCACTTGACATTTACGCACATGATACATTTCCTTTTCCTGGTGATAAAAAGGCTGTAGGTTTTACAGTCAAGCCTACATCCTACAGAAAAGTCTCAGGAGAAAAGCTCTTTTTTTTTCTTCTGTTCTTGTCCCCTTGCCATAGTAAATGAAGATAATGCAGAGACACCAGTGTAACAGAGAAAGTAACCTGATGAACTCAAAGACAGCAGAAATGTAGGCACACAATTTTGACACAAATTCATAGCTTTAGGCCAGGTGTGGTGGCTCACGTCCGTAATCCCAGCACTTTGGGAAGCCAAGGCGGGCAGATTACCTGATTTCAGGGGGTCGAGACCAGCCTGGACAACGTGACAAAACTCTGTCTCTACTAAAAATACAAAAATTAGCTGGGCATGGTGGCGTGTGCCTGTAATTCCAGCTACTTGGGAGGCTGAGGCACAAGAATCATTTGAACCCAGGAGGCAGAGGCTGCAGTGAGCCAAGATCACGCCATTGTACTCCAGCCTGCGCGACAGAGCAAGACTCTGTCTAAAAAATAAAAATAAAAATAAAAATAAAAATGTACAGCTTTGGTCTCTGCTAGCTTACATTCATTTCCAACCACTGTAACTGGTCCAGTGTGGAAACTTACTCAACTTGAAATTTAACTTGCCCAGAAGGAATCACTTACTTATCAGATTTGCTCTAAATCGAGAAAGTGATCTCACAATCATGATTACTAGCACTCAGGGCCCAGAGAAGTAAAATGACATGGCTCAGAATCCAGAACTCAGACCTTCTCACACAAGTCTGATGCCCTCTTTTCAAAATCCCACTCCTCCTCAGAACCAGGTTCTGCTTGGGCATTGTTCTCTGGGTCTATAAAGTTGTCAGTTTTCTGGGAAGCCTTATTTGCCCACATAATAGGAGCCTATACTCTAAAACGTGTGTTGATTTTATTGTCTTTCAAAGGGAGCTATAAATCCACCTTCTCTTTCGGAAATGAAGCAAGTTTGTGTTGAGGGCCTGTTATGTCCCCGGCTCTGTGCTAACCAAGGTGTGGTGAGAGTGAACAATCCTGCCTTCGGGCGCCTTCGGAACTGCTGAGAATAACTGGAGCTCATGCTTTCATGGCATTTACTATGCATTCTAGAGGCATCATTCTAAGTGTATTAATTTGTATTTTATATGAAATTGGTCTATTACTATTCCCATTTTCTAAATAAGGAAACTGAGACACGGAGAAGACACTCAACGAATTAAGTGCCACAGCCAAGATTTGAATCCAACTTTAAATAAGTAATTATTAATGTTAGTAAGTGTTATTGAAGGGCAAGGTAAGGTGCTGTGGGAACTTGTTTTTTGAGACACGGTCACACTCTGTCACCCAGGTTGGAGCACAGTGGCGTGATCACAGTTCACTGCAGCTTTGACCGCCTGGGCTCAAGCAATCCTCCCACCACAGCCTCCCAAAGTGTTGGGATTACAGGCAGGAAACACCACACTTGGCCTGTGGGAACTTTGCTAATGTGATTTCACCTAATCCAGGTAGTTAGATGAGTAGGAATCAGGCTGGAACTGACCCAGGAAAGGTTTTTTAAAGTGTATTTCTCCTGCTGTCTACACAGACAACATCAACCCACTGAGACCACAGCATTGCAGTAGAGAAAGAGTTAATTGACATAAGTGATCCTCCCACCTCAGCCTCCTGAGTAGCTGGGACCACAGGTGTGCACCACCATGCCTGGCTAATTTTTGTATTTTTTGTAGAGATGGGGTTTTATCATGTTCTCCTAAACTCAAATGATCCACCCACCTCAGCCTCCTAAAGTGCTAGGGTTACAGGCATGAGCCACCACGCCTGGCCTAATTTGTTGTCTTATACTCAGTTCACTTCATTCATCATTTGGCTGCCTTAGAGCCTGATGCCTGGATGCATCTGAGTTTGTTATCCTGGTAGATCTCTTCTGGGAAAGAGGGGCTCCACCCTGTTTCAATTAGGAGTCTCTTGATTGCAGGCTGGGAGCAGTGGCTCACACCTGTAATCCCAGCTCTTTGGGAGGCCGGGTAGATCACACAGTCAGGAGTTTCACACCAGCCTGGCCAAGATGGTGAAACCCCGTCTCTACTAAAATTACAAAAATTAGCCAAGCGTGGTGGTGAGCACCTGTAATCCCAGCTACTCGGGAGGCTGAGGCAGAGAATTGCTTGAACCCAGGAGGCAGAGGTTGCAGTGAGCCGAGATCGCATCACTGCACTCCTGCCTGAGTGACAGAGCGAGACTCTCTCTCAAAACAACAAAAAAAATGAGTCTCTTGATTGCAAGTGACAGAACCTCAACTTGGCATTCCTTAGACAAAAGGGGAAATTTACTCAAGGGCTAGAGGTTGGTTGGTTTGTTTTTCATATACTCGCAGGCGCGCATGGTTGACACTTAGCCTCGGTGGCAGTTGGCACCAGAGACCTGCTGCTGCAGGGTTCTGTCTGTTTATCTGACTCTTCTCCTGCAGGTTTGCTTCTTCAGCCCAGTATGCGTATGGCTGCCCGAAGCTCCTAAGCCTCTCTGCCAGAAAAGAGCCGACTCTCTTCCCTTGGGTCTACATTGGAAAATCTGTAGAATATTCTTATGTGGTTCAAGTGTCCACCCTTGGACCAGTTACTGTGGCCAGAGAGACAGGGCATTTTGACTGTCCAGCTTTGGGACAGAGAGAAATCAGCTTTGGGGATTGTCAGCTGGACATCTCACCCATCCATCCTATGGGATATTGCCAGTGTTGCCTTTTATGTCCACCCTTAAGAAACTCCTTCTCTTGATCACAGTAATTTTCCTGGCTCACAAAGCATTTTCTTTCAGGAGCTCCTAGGACTGTGCTGTAGATTTTAGCATCCTGCCGACAGAATGTGTCATATCAGTTTGTTTCATGAAATGAGATGACCTTTCTACAACACTTCTTTAGTCTTCTTATTTCGGGGTCCCTTGCAAAGTAAACACATTAGAATGTCCCCCCACTTCCATTTTGAAGACATTAAGAGCTCCTTTGGTGTAATAATGGGCAATTAGCAAATTATAAATTCATGTTTAAACACAAAACCTGAAGGAAAGTGACCCAAGGTCACTGCAGTGATCAGTGCCATGATTTTTTTTTTCCAACCCAAGTTTAAAATAAGCAGGCATGACTTATTCTGACCTGATATTGAATCTAAAAATGGAATCCCTATGTCATTGCTGGCTAAGAGTCCTGTGTGCATTGCTGGGAGAGGTAAACAGGACTTGCCCTTTTCCTGAAGGTTTACTCTTAGTTAAGAGCACGGGCTCTGCAGCAAGATGCATCTGAGTTAAGTTCGGACTTGGCAAATAATAATTTAGCCTCTCTGTGCCCCAGTTACCTCGGCTCTAAATAAGAGTGATGATTGCCCCTAATGCACAGGTCTGTTGGATACATGAACAAATGTGTAACCTGCCCAGCTCAGGAACAGGCACAGTCATACTCAGGAGATTTTAGCTGTCGTAATTTTCATCATCATCACATACCAGCTCCATCCTTTGACTCAGATGTTTAAGGGTAATCAATATAAGAAATTGGACAGTGTGTTAGACCAATGCTTTTCAGAAATCAGATTTCCTCATCTCCTTCTACATTTTTGAGGACAAGGTAAAAGGAAGGAAACTGACCCTTCAGGCTCCTGCTACCCGCCGCACACCTTCATGCATCTACCGTTCGGTTGTATTCGTTGTTTCTATGATTATTTCCTTAACATCTGTCTCACTAGATCTGTAAATGTGCTAAGGGCGAGGGCTCCTCTGTCTTTCTTTTTCTATATGCTGGCATGTAGTGGGTGCTTAGTAAGCACGTTTTGAGTTTAACTTTGCTCACAACCCCTTATTCAGGTAGCTGTTATCGCGTTCTTAATGTTGCCAAAAATGAAAGTTTCCAAACATTGTTACTGCTGGTCGCAGAACCATTCTAAACTCAGATTTTCCAGCTGTTAGTCCAGTGCCATTTCTTTTTACTAAAAAGTACAAATGATAAGGAAGAATAAAACCAAATTAGTAGTTCCTCCATGTGATATGCAAATTGGATTTTTAAACCTATAGTTAGGGAAGTCATATCCTTTGTCCCAAGGACTGGTTAATTGGGGCCGAAACCAAGGTCAAATTGCACATCTGCAGCATCACTTTCAAACAGGGGCACGCACTTTTGCTCCTCCTAAGGCCATTTGATTCACACTGGTAGGAATAACATTAAGAGTTTCAGTTTCCAAGGCAGGTTAGAGTTTTTTCCTCTTAAAAATTCCCATGAGCCTTATTGACCTTTCCACATCTTTTTTTCTCTGTTTTCAAGTGTGATGCTGTAGAGTAAAGGCCACAGAGTCACCTTCACTGTGTGACCTTCCTTTCATGGCTGACTCTGAAATCCACCTGGGTGCATTTAGGATTTAAGTTCCCAAATTTTATTTCCTTCAGCACTAACGCTTTATGAAGCCCAGATTCTATTCTGCCATATGTTGAAGAAAGAAATATGACAAAGTTGATCATATTAAGATATGGGAGAGACATACATAAAAAGATACAATATAATCTTGAAAAAAAATGATAAAATAATTGGTTCATGTTGTGGAAGGGACACCACCCAGAGGCTAAGGAAGAATTATGAGATGAGGTAATGTTCATTTTGTATCATATCTGTTTAGGAGCAAAGTTTACAAAGGGAGGGGAGCAGTCCTAGGATCTTTCTCCTAGAAGGGAGAAATTAAAGAGAATCTAAATGAGTGAGGTAAGTTCTGGCCCCCCAAAATCAGAAAGTAAGTTAGAAGTAAGCAGCTAAGTGTAGCACAATCATCCAGGTGACCTAGGCTCCAGTCTCGGGAGAGAGCTTACTGGGATTAAATCTTTCAGGCTGTAAATCAATGGGGAATGAAGGCCATAGGATGAGATTGTAACCAAATGTAATAATAATGATTGTCTGGTCATAACCGGATCCTTATCTATTGTATTGTTACACATCTAATAGGATCCTGATGAAGAAAGGGTGTGTGAACATGTCTAGAAAAGAATGAGGGGTGGGGAATGTCAGATTCAACTAAAGCAAAAATAACAACAACCAAAAAAAAAAAAACAGCTGCAGAAAAATACTGTGAGATACTAAAGTAAGTTAGTTTTGCTTACTCAAAGAATTGCCTCCAGCATTTCCTAGAGGAGAAAAGTGTCCTGTCTAGGTCACTTCTAAGACTGTCAACACCGTGGTTCTGGGTGCATGTTCTAGAGCCTGAGCTAGTTCTCTGTAGTGCCTTTGAGAAGATGGGGCTAGCACAGCTCAATTCCATTTACTATCGTCATTAGTATCTTCATTAAATATTATTAATTGCTGGGCTGGGTGTGGTGGCTCACGCCTGTAATCTCAGCACTTTGGGAGGCCGAGGCGGGCGGATCACCTAAGGTCAGGAGTTCAAGACCAGCCTGGCCAACATGGTGAAGCCTCGTCTTTAAAAAAAAAAAAAAAAAAAAAAATATATATATATATATATATATATATATATATAGTTTTGCATAATGATAAAAAAAAATTATTAATTGCCAGGTGTGATGTTAACGGCACTCATATATTACTTCATTTAATCTTTTCAGCATCCCTAAAGTATAGCTACTCTTGTTTTTTTCCATTTTATAGATGGGGAAATTAAGGCTTGAAGAGGGCAAATAACCTGTTCAGGTTTGCAGAATTCTTTTTTTTTTTTTTTTTTTTTTTTTTCCGAGACAGAATCTTGCTCTGTCACCCAAGCTAGAGTGTAGTGGTGCAATCTCAGCTCACTGCAACCTCCTCCTCCTAGGTTCAAGCACTTCTCCTGCCTCAGATTCCTGAGTAGCTGAGACTACAGGTGCTCAGCTAATTTTCGTATTTTTAGAACAGGCGGGGTTTCACCATGTTGGCCAGACCAGCCAACCTCAGGTGATCCGCCCACCTCGGCCACCCAAAGTGCTGGGATTACAGGCGTGAGCTACCACCCCCACCAGGTTTGCGGAACTCTTTAAGTTGAAGAGCTAGGATCACAAACTCCTAACAGTCCATTATACAAGTCATCCCTGTCTTCCATACCAGCTTACGTACCTGCTGTCTGTATACTGCACCTCACCATCGGGGTATCTCTCAGATGTTACCAAGAGACAGAGTAAACCCATGCTTTCTCCTGTCCAAATCGGCCTCTCCTGTTCCCTGCTTTGTCCAAGCCCGGTTGTAGGAGTTTATACCTTAAAATAAATCATCCTATGATAATTTCCTCTTAAAATGTGCCTATTAAAAAAAAGATAGGATAGGATGGGAGGCAGACATAAACATTCTGGTCAATTTATTGGCGTTATTACTTATTTCAGTTAATAAACTGCCCTTTTGCTATGCTTCAGCTTTCCATGTGTGTTGACAAGTTGCTTCTCTCCCAAGTCAGGATACTGTACTCCTCCGTGGGTTTTAGAGCTAACTTACCTTTATCCCATGGAATTTTCTGTAGCTGTGTTTTTTAAAAAATTCTAATTGAGGCCGGGCGCGGTGGCTCAAGCCTATAATCCCAGCACTTTGGGAGGCCGAGGCGGGTGGATCACGAGGTCGAGAGATCGAGACCATCCTGGTCAACATGTGAAACCCCGTCTCTACTAAAAATACAAAAAAAAAACTAGCTGGGTGTGGTGGCACGTGCCTGTAATCCCAGCTACTTAGGAGGCTGAGGCAGGAGAATTGCCTGAACCCGGGAGGCGGAGGTTGCGGTGAGCCGAGATCGTGCCATTGCACTCCAGCCTGGGTAACAAGAGTGAAACTCCGTCTCAAAAAAAAAAAAAAAAAAAAATTCTAATTGAGTATCTTAAGGGGAAAAAACTCCAGTTCCGGATTAGAGCCCTGAACAGACAGTTATGTAGGGGTATTAGTGTGACAGAAGAAGAAAAAACTTGGGCTGAAATGACCGTCAGAGGGTATCTGGCCGAGTGTGTTGTTGCTCCGGTAATCCCAGCTACTCAGGAGGCTGAGACAGGAGGATCACTTAAGCCCAGGAGCTTGAGGCTATAACAAGCCCTGCCAATTGGGTGTCCACACTAGGTTGGGCATCGACATGGTGCCCTCCTGCAAGGAGGGACCACCAAGATGCCTAAGGAGGGGTGAACCAGCCGAGGTCAGAAACAGAACAGGTCAAACCCCTGTGCTGATTGGTAGTGAGATCATGCCTATGAATAGACCACTGTGCTCCAGCAGCAGCATAAAAAAAAACCCTGTCTTTTATTTAAACAAAAAAGAAAAGAAATCTGATAGGTCTAAGGCCTCACAGATCTGAAAGGACTGAAAAAACATTTGGAAGTGACAAAGCTGGGTTCATTTCTGAGAGTCAGTCCAGTGGGTGAATTAAACTTTTATGCCCAGTGTTTTGTTCATTTTTGTAGTAGATGGAAGGCCAATTAAATGTGCTAACTGCTGAAATTGGAAAGTGCAGTTGAGCCCCGCAATGCTGCGAATTGGTTGTGTCTTTTACATTTCAGGAAGACATGTCCCAGGTGATTGGTCAAGGCATGGTGGCAGATCAGCAGAAGGCACTGGAATACCCACCTGACAATGTATATAACTTGTACGTTAGGTTTTACTCTACTGGGGTAGCATGCATTCCAAAAGAAAAGGAGATGATTGCAATGAGATCAGATCCTTTACTTGACAGGAGGTTGTGGAGTGTTATGCAACCTGAAATCAATCCACAACTATATCTTAATTCTGTGCAAGTTGTATGCAGATATCCTGTGTTCACTTCTCTACCTCAACCCCCTAAACAGGTGTTTAAAAGGGCATCCCAGGTGGGCATGGTTTGTAATCGCAGTTCATGTTTGTAATCCCAGCACTTTGGGAGGCCAAGGCAGGCAGATCACTTAAGGTCAGGAGTTCCAGACCAACCTGGCCAACATAGCAAGACCTTATCTCTACTAAAAATACAAAAATTAACCAGGTGTGGTGGTGCATAAATGTAGTCCCAGCTACTCAGGAGGCTGAGGCATGAGAATCACTTGAACCTGGGAGGCAGAGGTTGCAGTAAGCCATCAAGATTGCGCCACTGCACTCCTGCCTGGGTGACAAAGCAAGATGCTGTCTTTAAATAAATAAATAATAAAAAGGTATCCCTGAAAACACCCTTGCACTTAAATAAATTCTATCTAGCCAGGCCACAGTGGTGCATACCTATAGTCCTAGCTGCTCAGGTGGCTGAGGCAGGATTCCTTGAGCCCAGGAATTCTAGTTCACCCTAAGCAATCTAGTAAGACTCTATCTCCAAAAAAAATTTCTGAGAACACCATGTCTTATACAATGTTGGAAATAAAAATTACAAATGGAAGAATTTCTATAAAATAGCTTTAGTGTTCCTTACATTTGAATTTCACTTCTCTTAAAGAACCAAAAACTTTTATCAAGTTGTTGATACTTTTGTTGTTGTTGAGCTTTTTCCTTGCTTTTTTTGAGTCCTGATTTTCATGTCTTTGTACTGATCTAGGCTTTTCTGTTTCTAAAACTTATACATGATTACTATGTTAGCTATTTTTATATTTAAAAAACTATAGATTACTAGAGCTTGCAGGAAATACATATTTCAAACATTGCCAAAGAAAATGCCTTTGAAAATTCTTTAAAATTATATGCTAAAAGCCCCAATTTTTTTTTTTTAAAAAGGTACAGAACGACCTTAAAAATAACCAAATTCAGTTCAACTGAAAACCTGTAAGCAATTTTTAAGAGTCAGGGTCTTACTCTGTCACCCAGGCTGGAGTATATTAATGCAATCAGAGCTCACTGTAACCTCAAACTCCTGGGCTCAAGCAATCCTCAAACCTCAGCCTCCCAAAATGTTGGGATTATAAGTGTGAGCTACTGTATCTGGCCAATTATAATTTTTTTTTAATTTAAAAGCAGGTTTTGCTTTAATGTATTGCACATACCATTAAGGAGTTAATACTTTATATACTCCCAGCCAGGTACAGTGGCTCATGCCTGTAATCCCAGCACTCTGAGAGGCCGAGGTGGGTGGATCACCTGAGTTCAGGAGTTCAACACAGCCTGGCCAACATGGCAAAACCCCATCTCTACTAAAAATACCAAAATTAGCCAGGTGTGGTGGTGGTTGCCTGTAATCCCAGCTACTCAGGAGCCTGAGGCAGGAGAATCACTCAAACTCAGGAGGCAGAGGTTGCGGTGAGCTGAGATCGCGCCACTGCACTCCAGCCTGGTTGACAAAACGGGACTCTGTCTCAAAACAAACAAACAAACAAACAAAACTTTATGTACTCCTACCTATCTCAAGCACATATCAAACATCTCTAAAATATTACAATCATAGAATTTTAGAACTGGGGCGAATTCTAAATATCATCCCTCATTTCTTCTTGTGGAACAGTGAGCACCTAAGCATCTTAATTATTCTCCTTTGGGAAAGTGATTTTAAGCCTTTTCTGTGGCTTCCAAAGAGAAATGGCCAGAGGTCAGTGGGCATCATCTGCAGTGAGGCCAGCAGCTCATTATACAGAACTTTCCCACCCTTTGAGCTGCTTCAGTATAGAATGAACTTCTTCATGGAAGTAGAATTTTCCATCCCTGAAGGTTTTTCAATCAGAAGCTGGCCAATCATTTATTGATATGTTCTAAAAGGACATAGAAGTATTAATCGCTGTTATTAATTGAGCCTAAATTATTTCTGACATAGTGATGGGTTTATTTATTTATCTTTAATCTTTACAACAACCTTGCAAGATATAGATGTGTCACCAATATATAGATGAGGTGGTCAAGTGACTTGTCTGTGGTCACACAGCTAATTAGTGATAGCAAACTTAGCCACATATACCTTCTTTTGAGTAGTGATTTTTATTTTCCTATCCTGAGGACCTGATGAAGTGTAAATCTCCCTAGAAAAACACTGATGACTACAATTTTTATACAACTACAAGGGTGTTTTACAACTAAAACCGTGGTTTTTTTGTTTGTTTGTTTGTTTGTTTGTTTGTTTGTTTTTTGAGACGGAGTTTCACTCTTGTTACCCAGGCTGGAGTGCAATGGCGCGATCTCGGCTCACCACAACCTCCGCCTCCTGGGCTCAGGCAATTCTCCTGCCTCAGCCTCCTGAGTAGCTGGGATTACAGGCACGCGCCACCATGCCCAGCTAATTTTTTTGTATTTTTAGTAGAGACGGGGTTTCACCATGTTGACCAGGATGGTCTCGATCTCTCGACCTCGTGATCCACCCGCCTCGGCCTCCCAAAGTGCTGGGATTACAGGCTCGAGCCACCGCGCCCGGCAAAACAGTGGTTCTTAACTCTGTTTTATAATAGGAACACCTAGGGAGCTTTAAAAAAATCACAAATGCTAGGACCCCCATCCCAGATGAAATAAACTGGCATGTAGGAATGTGGATCTCAGGCAAGTTTTTTGTTTTTTTTAATTGAGACTTATTGTCAAGTTAAACCATGGATTCTTAAGCCAAGGCTTCTTTAAAGAAGATTAAGTCTTAAGCAATAAGTCTCAATTAAAACAAACAAACAAACAAACAAACTTGCCTGGGCACCACACCCCTAGATGTCAATTTATTTTGTCTGCAATGGGGATCCTAGCATCTGTAATTTTTTTTTTTTTTTTTTTTTTTGAGATGGAGTCTCACTCTGTCACTCAGGCTAGAATGCGATGGTGTGATCTCAGCTCACTGCAACCTCCACCTCCCAAGTTCAAGTGATTCTCCTGCCTCTGCCTCCTGAGTAGCTACGATTACAGGTGCCCACCACCATGCCTGGCTAAATTTTTTTTTTTTTTTTTTTTTCTTAGTAGAGACGGGGTTTTACCATGTTGGTCAGGGTGGTATCGAACTCTTGACCTTGTGATCTGCCCACTTCAGCCTCCCAAAGTGCTGGGATTACAGGCGTCAGTGATTGCATCCGGCTGCATCTGTAATTTTTGAAAGCTCCATAGGTGTTCCTATTATGAAACAGGATAAGAAGTTTAGTTAGGTTTGATGACCTATAAAGTCTATCCCAGTTCTTATAATCTAATATAGTTACACAGAACAGCAAATCCATTCTTTTCGGTCTTTCTTACGTAGTAGTTTGGTCTTGTGCCAATGAATGAGTCATGGAATCATGCCTTCATCCATCACCACATACTGACAACTAGAGGGCTGTCTCTACGTATATATGTTTGGATATTTCACTTAGATTCTATGGACTGCTTCCTTATTGTTAAATCGAATTCAATTCCACCAACATCTATCAGGCACCTATTATGCACCAGATGCTACATGAAACTGGGACATAAAGGAAAGCAACAATCATCTCTTTTCGATAGAAAAGCCATAATCTAGTGATTGCTCTCTCTAGTGCTTTCCTGTTTTAAAAGTCACGTGATTTTTCATAAAAGAACACTGCAGTTTGCACCCAGCCTTGTTGGGAAACCATGTTCTTTCTGGAGGCGATACAAAATGTAAGTTGGCTGTAAGTACTGTGTGAGTTAAGATACAGGCGCATGTAATCCCAGCACTGTAAGAGGCCAAGGCAAGCAGATCACGAGGTTTAGAGATCAAGACCATCCTGGCCAACATCGTGAAACCCATCTCTACTAAAAATTAACCAGGCATGGAGGCACACACCTCTAGTCCCACTATCGGGAGGCTGAGGCAGGAGAATTGCTTGAACCCAGGAGGTGAAGGTTGCAGTGAGCCAAGATCGTGCTACTGCAGAGCGAGACTCTGTCTCAAAAAAAAAAACAAAAAAAAATGCAAGCCCAATTGCTGGAAGCTCTCTTTTGCATAAGTCTGTGTGTGGTCAGTTTGGGGATGTTATGGTGTCTCCAAAGTGTCGCAGACCCAACCACCTCTTTTCTGATTACTGTACTCTTACCTGATTATTCTTATTTGATTACTCTACCATCCTCAAATGATGGCATCCATTCTTTGGTTTAAGAGGGCTGCTTCAGTTATCACCAACACGTCTGCATTTCAAGCAGTGAGTAGAGGAAGGCAGGATCTTTCTCCTTAGGAGAATGATCCAAACATTGTACTTTTCACTTCTGTTTACATCCCATTGACGAGGACTTAGTCTGTTGGCACATGTAGCTTCAATGAGGCTAGTAAGTGTGGTCCTTAGAATAATTGGATATCTAAGTCCTCTCAATGTTCAGTTTTCTTATAGTAACCTCTTATTTGTCTTTTCCACTTCCTTCCTTTTAAAATCACTGATAGATGTGTAATTGAGCATGTCTTTTTAAGTAAGTATATGGTCATTATTAAATGATGGTGATAGTGGCCAGACACAGTGGCTCATGCCTGTAATCCCAGCACTCTGAAAGGCTGAGATGGGTAGATTGCTTGAGTCCAGGAGTTTGAGACCAGACTGGGTAACATAGCAAAACCCCATCCATCTCTACTAAAAATACAAAAAATTAGCCAGGCGTGGTAGTGTGTGCCTGTACTCCCAGGTACTCGGGAGGCTGAGGTGGGAGAATCACCTGAGCCCAGGAGGTCGAGGCTTCAGTGAGCTAAGATCATGCCACTATTCCAGCCTGGGTGACAGAGTGAGATTCTGTCCAGAAAAAAAAAAAAAAAAAGACAGTGATAGAAAAACTGCAGGAAAAAACGTAGAATCATTGCCTATCAGCTGTTTGATAAACACTTTAAGCTTGTAGCATTCTTCAACTATTGACTTCTAGTTCTACTTCTTTCTCTAATTAGCTGCATGATTTCAGATATGTCACTTGACATTTATGCTTGGTTTGTCTGCAAAAAAAAAAAAAAAAGTAATGTTTAACTATCAGGGTTATTTGCATGATTGACGTTACGGATGTGAAAGTATTTTGAAAACTAAAAACCACATTGCATATGCACACCGGGTGGTATTGTTGCATTGTGACTGCACACTGCACAATGCCTTACACTGAGGCACAGACAGAATCTTGGGTGTTACGGTTCTGGAGCAGTTATTTCGGTCCTATTTCTAGACTCCAGGGCCAGCCTGTACTTTACTACCAGACTTCCAGCTAGGCATGAGTTCCCTGGCTAACTGCAGATCCAGAGGCAGGTCAGGTTGCTAAACACACACACACACACACACACACACATATATGTAATTTTTTTTTTTTAGATGGAGTCTCGCTCTGTTGCCCAGGCTGGAGTGCAGGGGCACCGTCTCAGCTCACTTCAACCTCCGCCTCCTGGGTTCAAGCGATTCTCCTGCCTCCACCTTCCAAGTAGCAGGGATTACAGATGCGTGTCACCATGGGGGCTAATTTTTGTATTTTTAGTGGAGATGGGGTTTCACCTTTTTGGCCGGGCTGGTCTCGAACTCCTGACCTCAGGTGATCCACCTGCTTTGGCCTCCCAAAGTGCTGGGATTATAGGTGTGAGCCACTGTGCCTGGCTACTACCTGTATTTCTTAACTTCCTGTTAAATAAATAGAGTCCTTTTGGTTTTTCTTAGTTTTTTAATATTAATATTCATTGGAGGTTCTGTCAGCAAAAATTCAGAATTACAAGTTAAATTTTCCCAAGCTCACACAGCAAAGGTCCCTGTACCTTTATTGAATTGCAAGTTGACTTTCTTCCCTGAGTTTCTCATGTGTGCAGTTTTGCTTTTCTTTCTTCACTCATTCATCATGGATTTTATTGAGTCCCTACTGTGTTCCAGGCTCTTGGTATCATAGGTGAATAAAGCACAGTTTCTTTATGTGAATTAAATGTCACTGATATACCTGGCATTTAGTAGGCTTTCAGTAGATGTTGGTTTTCTTTGTCTGCTCCTCATTTTGCTTCATTAACCTACCAAATGCATCTTTGACTCTGGTGTGTCCAGAAGAAATGGACAATATTGATGCTCCAGACATCCCCAGCATAGATTGTTTCGCAATATGCACAGCACAGATAAGTCATTTCAAAATCCATAGATAAAGGGACTTTTGCTGATTTCATCAGAATGAGTAGAAATTGCAACATAATTTTTGTTCTTCCTCCTACCCCCAGCTTCATGTACAGATCAGTGACAGAGTATCTTCAGCGTTTATCCTTCCTCCCTTCCTTGGTCTGCCCTTCTTCAAAGCATTTTAGATATAAAGTTAAATAGGGAAGCGTGCGGAGTGGGGCATAAATCATCCCAACTTCTTGCCATCCCTCCAGCCCTATGTTCTCAAAAGACATCATTGGAGTGTACCGTTGTTTGGGTAACAATTCACCAGTTTTAAAGTATTTTCTTGTTGCCTTTCTCCTTTTTCGACATTCATCTAATTTTCCTTTCTTTTGTAGGCTGTCAGCCAGATGAAACAGCAAAAATATCCAACGAAAGTCTCCTTCAGTTCACAAGAGATACCGTTAGCACCGACTTCATCATACCATTCAACAGATGCAGACTTCGCAGGCTATGGTATGATTCTTTTCCTGAGCAGATCTGGCTCATTAAGACTTAGAGAAGGAAAGGGATTCTAACATCCTAAAAAGAGAACTGGACCAGGAGGCAGAAGCCCGAGTCTAGCTGCTTCCTCCACTTCCTTAGCTTTGGGGCTTGGATAGGTCACCTCGTTTCCTTTACCATTTTCCTCCTCTCTGCCATCGCCACTGCCTATTACTTTTTGAATATAAAAGCACTAGAAAGGACCTCAGCAGGTCAGGAGTTTGAGACCAGCCTGGCCAACATGATGAAACCCTGTTTTTACTAAAACTACAAAAAATTAGCTGGGCTTGGTGGTGGGTGCCTGTTATTACAGCTACTCAGGAGGCTGAGGCAGGAGAATCACTTGAACCCGGAAGGCAGAGGTTGCAGTGAGCTGAGATCACACCACTGCACTCCAGCCTGGGTGACAGAGAGAGAGAGAGAGAGAGAGAGAGAAAGAGAGAGAGAAAGGAAAGAGAGGAAAGAGAGAAAAGAGAAAGAAAAGAAAAGAGAAAGAAAGATTGAAATACTATAAATGAGAAAAAAGACAAAAGAAAGAAAAAGGGACCTCAGTAAATGTTATTTGAATCTGAGGCTTCTGGATGAATCTGAGGCTTCTAGATGATTCTTCTAATTTCTCCAAACGATTATGTTTAGGTCTTGAGTAATATCTCTTTTAAAAAGCCTATCAAACCCAATTTTTAGCCCTACCAGTGTTGCTATAAGCCGCTTGAAGAATGTTGATTTTCAATGCTTAAAGAAATTGGTATTCACATTCTCTTTTTAAATTCCTGGCTTGCATTATGCTGACGAAGGATTGAAAATAGAACTTTATAATAAATAATGGGTATTTCTACCTGGTTTTTTTTTTTTTTTTTTTCTGAGAGACAGAATCTCACTGTGACATCCAGGCTGGAGTGCAGTGGGGTGATCTCAGCTCACTGCAACCTCTGCCTTCCAGGTTCAAGTGATTCTCCTGCTTCAAGTAATTCTCCTGCTTTGGCCACCTTAGTAGCTGGGATTACAGGCACCCACCACCATGGCTGGCAATTTTTGTATTTTCAGTAGAGATGAGGTTTCACCATGTTGTCCAGTCTGGTCTCAAACTCTTGATCTCAAGTGATCTGCCTGCCTCAGCCTCCCAAAGTGCTGGGATTACAGACATAAGCCACCGTACCTAGCCCACTTTGCTTTTGTGCGATAAAAATCAGTAAAAAATAACTCTTTAAAAGACAGTACTCACCAGTGGCAAAATATAACCCTACATTAATTTAGCAGTCCTGAAGTCTCTGTGGTATTTGTCTTTTATATATATTTTTTATAAATATTAATTTCATAAACTTCATCAAGCAGCTACTATTTTGAAGCATTGGAGTTGTACTAAAACACCTGATGAATGTGGTCAGAAAACTATGGTGCATGGGTCACATCTGGCCTACCAGCTGGTTTTGCATGGCCTACAAGCTAAAAAAGGTTTTCACTTTTTAAAGGTTGAAAAAAAAAACCAAAAGAATATTTTATAAAAATTCTATGAAATTCATATTTCAGTGTTCACAAATACAGGTTTATCAACACTGATTTGTTTTTGTATTGTCAATGACTTTTTTCACACTATAATAATGAAGTTCAGCAGTCGCAGCAGAGGCGGTCTGGCCTGTAATGCCCCAAATATGTATATTTGGTCCTTTACCAAGAATGTATGCTGACTATGAATGTAGGTGAGTTTTGGTAATATACATCACATGTTTATACTTAGATGACAGAAATTCATCATCCTTCCTGGTATTCATTCCTCTTTTTTTTTTTTTTGAGACGGAGTTTCACTCTTGTTGCCCAGGCTGGAGTGCAATAGTGTCATCATGGCTCACTGGAACCTCTGCCTCCTTGGTTCAAGCGATTCTCCTGCCTCAGCTTCCCAAGTTGCTGGGATTACAGGCACCCACCACCACATCCAGCTAATTTTTTTGTATTTTTAGTAGAGACAGGGTTTCACTATGCTGGGGGGAGGGGGGGAGGCTGGTTTCTAACTCCTGACCTCAGGTGATCCACCCACTCAGCCTCCCAAAGTGCTAGGATTACAGGCATGAGCCACTGTGCCTGCCTGGTTTTCATTCTCATGGTTAAATAAATAAATGAAGCTTACCATTCTACAGTTGAATCTGTAGACATTTTATTAATTTACTAAGCTACTTACTAAGCATTTATTTTAAGGGCTTGGTATGAGCTGGGTTTGGGGTTGGATTCCATGAGCGAAGTAAACAGAAAGACTGACTCAGGACTGGCTAGGGTGAGGCAAACGTGGACGAGGGAAAAGAAATGCCATCTCCAGGATGTCTCACTAGGTTTTTCCTCTCTTCTCACTGAGGAGACTATGCTAGTCATTTACAAAAGCAGTGTAAACTTTTTTTTTTTTTTTGAGATGGAGTTTTGTTCTTGTTGCCCAGGCTGGAGAACAATGGCATCATCGTGGCTCACTGCAACCTCCGCCTCCCAGGTTCAAGAGATTCTTCTGCCTCAGCCTCTCTAGTAGCCGGGATTACAAGCATGCATCATCATGCCCAGCTAATTTTGTATTTTTAGTAGAGATGGGGTTTTACCATGTTGGTCAGGCTGGTTTTGAACTCCTGACCTCAGGTGATCTGCCCACCTCGGCCTCCCAAAGTGCTGGGATTACAGGTGTGAGCCACCGCGCCCAGCCTGAAAACAATAAAAACTTTTTAAAGCACCCATGAAAATGTGCTACCATTGCACGTCATTTTTACTGTAAATTAATGGGAAATGTAGTATAAAATACATATGCTGCAAAAATATTTAGAGACAAATTAGGTTTACAATGTAATATTCTGCCTTGCCTCTGTCTTACCTAGAGCCCGTTTCTTTTTGTTTTATACCAGAGATTGGCAAGCTTTTTCTATAAAGAAGCCAACAGTAAATGTTTAGGCTATGGCCCACACAGCCTCTGTTGCAGTTACTGACCCCTGCCATTGTAGTGTGCTGGCAGCCACAGGCTAGGCATAAATGAATTAGTGGGTTTGTGTTCCAATACAACTTTATTTACAGACACTGAAATTTAGACTCATATCATTTTCACATGCCTTGAGACATTGTTTTTCTTTTGAATTTTTTTTTTTTTTCAAGTTTTTGAAAGTGTAAAAGCCATTCTTGATCCGCAGCTGTAGTCTGCTGACCCCTGCTTTTACATAGGTTTAAGGAGCGTTTGGATCTCATCTCAGTTCTGTGCATTAGCTGCAGCTGACCAGCAGATGGGGCCCTCTCTCATCAGCCTTTTCCTGAATCGTATCATAAGAAACAATACTCATGGTGATCAAACTTCGTTATCAGAAAACATGACATTCTCTGGAGATTATTATTTGTATGAGCATCTCTTGAAACTGTTCAACATTTTGAATGTTTTGAGGGCTTTTTTTGTTTCTTTAAGTTGCTGTTTCACTCTTGTTGCCCAGGCTGCAGTGCAATGGTGTGATCTTGGCTCACTGCAACCTCTGTCTCCCGGGTTCTCCTTTCTCAGCCTCCCGAGTAGCTGGGATTACAGGCACACACCACCACACCTGGCTACATTTTTGTATTTTTAGTACAGATGGGGTTTCACTATGTTGGCCAGATTGGTCTCAAACTCCTGACCTCATGATCCGCCCACCGTGGCCTCCCAGAGTGCTGGGATTACAGGCATGAGCTACCGTGCCCAGCCAAACGGGTGTTATTAAACATTTTTTCTTAGCCTATGAACATTTTTTTCCTCACTTTTTGGAAAAACCTAACCTAAAACAATTATTTTTAAAAATAAACCTTTGTTAAAAAAAAAAAAAAAAAAAAAAAAAAAAAAAAAAAAAAAGCAGTAACCTTTAAATAAACTTTTCCTCTGTGAACCCTGCAAGTAATTTTTTTTTTTTTTTTTTTTTTAAGACGGAGTTTCGCTCTTGTTACCCAGGCTGGAGTGCAATGGCGCGATCTCAGCTCACCGCAACCTCCGCCTCCTGGGTTCAGGCATTCTCCTGCCTCAGCCTCCTGAGTAGCTGGGATTACAGGCACATGCCACCATGCCCAGCTAATTTTTTGTATTTTAGTAGAGACGGGGTTTCACCATGTTGATCAGGACGGTCTCGATCTCTTGACCTCGTGATCCACCCGCCTCGGCCTCCCAAAGTGCTGGGATTACAGGCTTGAGCCACCGCGCCTGGCGCAAGTAATTTTTGAGTCTTGTGTTGATAATGCATTTTGTTTTACTCTATATCTAATATATTTGGGGATAAATTTTAGGTAATTGTTGTTTTTAGGTATTTCATACTTTATGATTAAATCCTGTATACATCTTGACAACTTAATTCATCTGATATGCTCCAGTTGAAAGTATTTAGGTACTTTTCTTCATTAATATTCTGTAGCTCAGAACCTCCTCTTATACCAGCCTTTATTCTCATAGTAACACAGGCCTTTATGTACCTAATCATTTAATCATTCTAATTTTTCCATAAAGATTTTCATGCTGTATTTTAAGATTTTAAAACTTTTGGCTGGGTGCAGTGGCTCATGCCTATAATCCTAACATTTTGGGAGGCCAAGGTGGGAGAATCACCTGAGTTAAGGGGTTCGAGACCAGCCTGGTCAACATGGTGAAACCTTGTCTCTACTGCAAATACAAAAATTAGCCAGGCGTGGTGACGCACACCTGTAATCCCAGCTACTTGGGAGGCTGAGGCAGGAGAATCACTTGAACCCAGGAGGTAGAGGTTGCAGTGAGCTGAGGTCACACCACTGCATTTCAGCCTGCATGACAGAGTGAGACTCTGTTTCAAAAAAAATAAATAAATAAGATTTTTAAACTTTCAAGTAAAATTGATGGGTTGAGAGTTAGGAGAGTTACCATTTTAATCTCGAGTGTCATCCCTGGGTAAAAGGCAGGAATCGCCCAGCTTTTCCCTTCATGGTGTTTGCCAGAAAAAAAGTGCTGTGATAAACACGTGCAAGCCCACACTCCCCACGTGATGGAATGTGCAGGCTGAGCTGCACGTTCTCTTCCGTACCGGTCATTCTGTGTTCAATTCTTTTCTAGGTGGTTTCCAGGCTCCTCTGTCAGTGGACCCCGCAACATGTCCCATTGTTCCTGGACAGGAAATGATTATAGAAATATCCAAGGGACGTTCAGGGCTTGGTCTCAGCATTGTGGGAGGAAAAGACACACCGTTGGTAAGTTTCTAGAAGTAAAATGTATCCACTGTCACAGAACTAGTTGTTGAGGTTCATTCTGGCCCTGTTCAGTCTGGACTCTGCAAGACTTGCCTTTTTCATAGTATGGGGAGAAAATGTGATTATAAATAGGTGTGCATCCATAGTCTAGCTAGTTTTCAAGTTTTTCTCAGTGTTTAATTTTCATCAGGGCTGGGCATGGTGGCTCACACTTGTAATCCCGGCACTTTGAGACGCCAAGGCAGGCATATTGCTTGAACCCAAGAGTTTGAGACCAGCCTGAGCAACATGGCGAAACCCCATCTCTACAGAAAACTACAAATATTAGCTGGATGGGCTGAGCACAGTGGTTCATGCCTGTAATCACAGCACTTTGGGAGGCTGAGGCAGGTAGATTACTTGAGGTCAGGAGTTCAAGACCAGTCTGGCCAACATGGTGAAACCCTGTCTCTACTAAAAATACAAAGATTAACCAGGCATGGTGGCTGTAGTCCCAGCTACTTGGAAGTCTGAAGCAGGAAAATCGCTTAAACCCAGGAGGCAGAGGCTGCAGTAAGTTGAGATCATGTCACTGCACTTCAGCCTGGGCAACAGAACTCAAAAAAACCAGAGCTCCATCTAAAAAAAAAAAATAGCTGGGTGGGGAGGCATGCACCTGTGGCTTCAGCTCCTTAGGAGGCTTAGGCAGGTCGATCACTTGAGCCCAGGAGGTCAAGGCTTCAGTGAACCATGACCATGCCACTACATTCCAGCCTGGGTGACAGAGAGCAAGACCGTGTCTCAAAAAAAAAAAAAAAAAAAAAAAAAATCAGGATTTTCTCCATCTAGGATGTTGGCACATAGTAAGTGTTCAGTAAGTAGGAACTATTGTTATTCTCGTTATTATGTTAATGGAATGGTAGATAAAAGGCTGGCATGGTAACCAAAGCAGGTGGATAGCTTGAGGCCAGGAGTTTGAGACAGGCTGGGCAACATAGCAAGACCTCATCTCTACAAAAAGGCTTTTTTTTTTTTTTTTTAATTAGCAAGGTTTAGTGGTACACACCTATATTCCCAGCTACTCAAAAGGCTGAGGAAGAAGGATCAGTTGAGCCCAGGAGTTCAAGGCTGCAGTGAACTATGATCACACCACACACTCCAGCCTGAGCATCAGAGCAAGGCCCTGTCTCTTTAAAAAACAAAACAAAAACAAAAACAACAAAATATATATACATGAATTATTCTAGCCCAACAATTTAGGGTTTATTTTACACTCACCATTTTCATGTCTGCTCATAATTTTTTTTAAAAAAGTTGGTCTAGAATGTTAGTGTTTCCTGGGATGATTGATTTCTTCATTGTTTTTTATTTTTTAAAAAAGAAATAGAGATGGGTCTTGCTGTGTTGCCCAAGCTGGTTTTGAACTTTTAGGCTCAAGCGATCCTCCTACCTTAGCCTCCCAAAATGCTGCAATTACAGGCATGAGCCACTATGCCTGGCCAGGATGATTGATTTTTCATTATTCAGTACCTTCTGTTTATTACTACTCAGTAGTGCCATTAAAATGTAAAACTTTTCCCGGGTTTTGATTTACTCAAGATGTGATTAATCAATGCATCTCTGTGTGTGTGTGTGTGTGTGTGTGTGTGTGTGTGTGTGTGTGTGTGTCTTTAATACCTGCATCTTGCGCAAAGTTAAATTGCCATAAAAGGAAAAAAGTGAAAAATAAATCTCCCTCCTACCTTTTTGCCCTAGCTCTGTCCTTCACTACCGATCCTTCCTAAAAAACCAGGGCCTCCCCTAGAGACAATCACTTTCTTAATGAATATGTTTTAAATGAATATTTTGGTATTTCTTTTGCCCATTTTACTTAGTAAGCAATAAATTGTATGTGCCAGATTAAACAAATATATCAGGGCCTATAAAACTTTTTTTTTCCATTTTGGGCAGTAATATAACACTTTTGTGGTAGTACTGTTGAGGGTGGGGACATCTTATTCTAAAGCACCGGGAAACTCAAGAACAGCACATGCTATAGAAACCGGGGTCTTGATGATGCAGGAGTTTTCTCTTGACCCCTTCATTAGACTTGCAACAGGGGTACTCCGTTTATTCTGACCACTGCACTCAACCTCTTGTGGGAAGTGCATGAGTGAGTGAGTGCAGGTCCCAGAAGGATGCTTTGGGCACTGGCTGGAGCAGGCTCCATGGGGTCCCCGCAGCCAGACCAGGTCGGGGTGCCTGTGACCCCTGAAGCCTCAGAGAGTATGTTACAATGCTAAGCTCCACAATCTGTGGACAGCAGTGCATTATCACAGTTCAGTGGGCCCCTTGCCTTGTCGCAGAGGGCAGCTGCCCCCATCAGCAAGGGCAAAGGGCCAGTGTGACAGCCTTTTTTGGGTACCCACACTCAGTGAGTACGAAGCTCTTGTCCAGCATCGAAGAAGAATTAGGTTGCACAGACACTTGAATGATGGTGGAGAAGAATTTTATTTAGCAATGGAAGTGCCTGTCGGTGGAGAGGGGAGCTGGAGAGGGGACGGGATAGGCAGATAGTCTTCCCTGAAGTCCAGCTGGCCCTTCTCTAAAGTTAAGCCATCTCTCCTCCAAAGTCCAGCTGTCCCTCTAAAGTCAAGTTGCCTCTCTCCAGTTAGGCTTCTCTCCTCTACCAACTGAGTCTGGGGTCTTCTGGGCACAGGATTAGGGACAGGGCGGGCCATAGGTAGTTTTGGGAAAAGGCAACATTCAATTAGTAAAAAGACATTATTCAGAAAGAACCAATCGGGAGAGAGCAGGCAAACAGGGATAGAAATGATCACTATGGACCATGGGTTTCAGGCTTTTCAGCTCAAAGATGGGGTTTTGCCAGGGATTCACCCCTGTCTGCCTAGAATTTCTCCTGTTCCTATCATTAATACCTTTTACATGTTTGCTGGTTGTGGTCCTTCCCTTTCCTACCATTGGGCCAAGTCTAGAAAATCCTGGCTTTGAGTCCCACCCTGCTAGTGAACCACATCACCTGAATCTGAAGGGATTTTATCTCCTTCAACTTGATAAAAGTATTGTTAAAACTTTTCTCTGGAGTTCATGATAATTTATGTCCTGAATTCTTCTCTTACCTGTGCAAGCAAGAACTGCCATGTGTGGCTTCATACATACATTGTGCCATATTTAGCAGCTTGGGTGGAATGGCCAACGCCTGGAGTTAACCAGCTCAGCAGCCACTTTTAGCACCTAGCCTGTTTCATGGGTCTTTGCCCCCTTAAGGCCCCAAATCTCTACATTTCTTGTTTCTGGCTTGGAATGCTATCTGTTCAGCTTTTGTCATTGAGAAAAGAGGCAAACTCTTCCCTAGAGGTTTCCGTTCAAGGAATTTGGTCTGGGCTGTCTTTTCTAATCGTATTTTTTTTTTTAAGACAGGGCGTTTCACCATGTTGGTCAGGCTGGTCTTGAACTCCCGACCTCAGGTGATCCGCCAGCCTTGGTCTCCAAAGTGCCTGGATTACAGGCGTGAGCTGCCACACCGACCTCCAATTGTATTTTTAGTAATTCTTTGTAATTTTATGTCATCCAGTCTCTCAGCCGTTCACAGAAACACTTTGACCAGCACCAGCAATCCAGCTAGCTCCTGCTTTATGTAGAAGGTCTCACCTATCACCAGCACAGGACCAGGACGAGACCAGGTCATTGTTCCCCAAACCTACATATGCACTGCAGCCTCTCGGACTTTGCCCTGTTCCTCTCACATTGCTCTCTCTGCCCTCCTGCTCCCATCAAGCTTCTCTACCTCCTCTAAGCCACTCCTCCCCAACCGAGTCTTTCCTGGGTTTCATGATCTGTCCTCAGCCAAACTCAGAGCTGATGCTGATCCTCTCTTTCAGCTTTCAGTCATATTCCCTCTTTACCATTGACTAGCTGGGGCAGATTTCTTAACCTCTCAGAGTCTATTTCCTGCTCTGTTTACAGAGATAATAATACCTTGTAGACATACTAGGATGATCACAAGAGATGACCTTCATAGGATGCTTAGCATATTGCCCATGGTACATACCTTCTCCAACTCTCTGTTTTCACATATGCAAAATCAGCTTAATAATCCTCAGTAATAATTGAGTTGTGGTGAGGATCAGATATCTTATACACAGTAGAATATATATATATAAAACCAAGGCCCCTACTATGCAGAAACTACTGGTTGACCCTGAACATTGGGTGATGTCTCCTTCCTAAAGCCTGTTTCTACACTTTCCCAAAGGGGTGTTCCTGAATATTAGAAACAGTAATCCTGGGAAATTACATTGTAAGTAAATTCTGTAGTGAATTCCTTCATAACAGAAAATTAACCTTCTGATTATTTTTTGTAAATGTAAGTCTTTTTTTTTTTTGCTTAAAATAAGGCAGGACTAGATTTCTCGTAGGAAATCACAAGTTTGATCAACACGTCCAGCCTAGCTGAATGAGTTATGGTTTTTTGTTTTTGTCTTGTTTTCTTGCTTTTTTTTTTTTTTTTTTTTTTGAGTCGGAGTCTTGCTCTGTTGCCAGGCTGGAGTGCAGTGGCGCAATCTCGGCTCACTGCAACCTCCGCCTCCTGGGTTCAAGTTATTTTCCTGCGTCAGCCTCCCGAGTAGCTGGGCTTACAGGCACGCACCACCACACCCAGCTAAGTTTTGTGTTTTGATATCTTGACATCATGATCCTTCTGCCTGGGCCTTCCAAAGCGCTGGGATCACAGGTGTGTGCCACCACACCCACTGGGGTTGTGATTTTGCTTTTGCTTTTGCCACTGTTAATCTGACTTTGCTTTACCTGGGTTGGTTGGAATACCGGAACAAGATGTGCCTGTGCTGCTCTTGGGTCTTTAATATTGCATTCATTTGTGCTGCTGGCTGATAGCTCGAGGGTTTCCACTGAACTCCATCACTTCCTGTCTTTAATATTGCATTCATTTGTGCTGCTGGCTGATAGCTCCAGGGTTTCCATTGAACTCCATCACTTCCTGCAACCTGGACCCGAGGCTGTTT